CGCTGGAATCCCTGTGCGTAACTGTGCGGGGAGACCCAGGGAATCGCTGGATAAACTGAGTGGAGGCGGATGCTCTTCCAGGTTGCTGTAAAACCCCAGGTGGGACAGGCGAGTTGTGTTTACCCTGTGACGGATACAGCGGAGTATCCATCCAAAACAGAACTACAGGGGAAGAGGGAAGCGTAGACGGGTGGTGACTTCCAAAGCACTGTAGCAGCAGCAGATGTTGAACCTGCGATGGGAATGAGAGAACTTGTTCCTCCAAGTGACGATGAATTCCTAAAGCTGGTACATCTGTGGTGTACGTCACCACCCGCTGCGCTCCCGCGAGGAGCAGCAGGGATCCCTGCGGCGAGAGGCCAGAGCTGAAGGGGTGTAGGGACTGCGTCGCCCGTCTGAGCTGGAGGTGTGGGGCAGATCTCTCCTGTTGCCCCCTTGCATCGCGGGTAGAATTTTCCGCGTAGAGCTGCCGGGCCGGGGCGAGGCCGATGTGGGTGCTGTGCAGGAGCACGGACTGGCAGGGGCGTTTTGGCCAAGTTAGAAATCCCTTTTCTCAGTGTTGAGGGGCAGGAGCCGTGTTCCGTGTCGCTTTGCCTTTGTGGTTATTCCGAGTTAGGGTCGTGGAGCTCGCTGCCATGGGAAGGAGCGTTGGCAGCCGGGGCCGCCCGGTTTCGGCAGTACAGCGACTTGTAGGCCCCGTGAGAAACAAGCGTGGCTTTTTGCGTCGCCTGATGCGAAAACGGGGTTCTGTCCCCCCAGCAGAACGGCCCGCGTCGTCTGCTGCTGCCAGACGGGGTGGCTGACTCGAAGCAGTGTTTTCTGTGGGTCCTGCGGATTCTGGCTGCAGCTTTAGGGGTTTTTAACCTTCACGATTACACCGACCCACCTCGATACGCTTCAAGGTGTGCGGAAACCGGGCAGGTTGTGACGTTAAGGCTTGCTCTGGGCTGGAGCATCAGCAGTGAGGGCAGACAGGGGTTGGTGTGACTGCGGTGAACACGGCCTGGTGCTGCTGAGTGAGCTGGCCGCAGCCGGAGCGTCCTGCCCAGGGCCGGGACTGCTCCCAGATCCCTGCGACAGCCTCATCGAGTCAGGCCCAGCGAACTGTTTCTCGGTACGTTTCCTTCCAGTGTTCAGTGATGTGTTTTCTGTCCGAAACATTCCTAGAGATGCATTTTGAAACACTTAAGAGACACCTGGGACGTGGTTTCCTGGCGGATACCCCGCGAGCTGCAGGAATCCTCGGGAGTGAGCCGGGCATGAGAGGCTGCGTCGGTGCCAGCGCCCGCGCTGGCCTCGGCGGTTTATCCGGTCACTCGTTGCTGGGAGGGTGTCTGTGCCGTGCCGACACGAAGCGCGTCGTC